GCAGGAGGCTCTGGGGAAAAAAATCCGTTCCCAAGCTTATTGTTGTTGTTGGCAGAATTCATTTCCTGAGGTTGTAGGACTGAGGTCCTCGTTTCCTTGCTGGCTGTCAGCTGGGGGCCAAGCTTAGCTCCTAAGGGTTGCTCCCCTCCCCTGCCACGTGGCCCCCTCCATCTTTGAGTCGGCACATCCTTATGGTACTTTGAATCTTTGACTTTTTCTTATTCAGTCAGCTGAAGAAAACTCTCTGCTTTAAAAGGGCTCATGTGACTAGATCAAGCACACCGGGATAATCTCCCTATGCCAATGTCAACTACCCTTTCTGGCAGTGCCTGGACCAGCATTTGATTGAGTGCTCAGGAGAAGGTGTGTGTAAGCCAGGGCTGGGAATCTAGAGGGCCATCTTGGAATTCTGTCTACCACATGCACCTACCTCTAGGGAAGTTGTGAGGCCTGAGTTAACAAGTGTGGGTCAAGTTCTTGGCATATATTCAACATGTTTCATTTGGGTAGAGACTTGGATGCAAAGAATTGGCCAGTTGAGTCCCCAGGCTTGATGAGAACTTGGTTGGGGTGAAAGGAGAGTGTTAGGGGTTGGGAACAATGGAACAATTGAAGAACATCCTCCACTCCTTGGCTAAGGTGTTTCATTTTGATATATTTGGAAACAGGAAGTGCCTGTCCTACTTGGATGAACAACACTGGTATCCTCCCTGGTTTTGCTGTGGTAATGGCAGTGAAGGTGGGGCTTTGGAATGAGGGAGAAGGAGCCTGAAAATGACCTCTGGATTAGCCCTCTCAGAAACCATCTGCTCAGAGCTCCTGATTTTCAGAAAAGCGAAGAGGTTTCCTCCAGCTATAAATCCAGGGATGCAGAAACCACCAAAATATTGTATTGTCGGAAAAGTCATGACACATTTTTGCAATGAAAAACATAGAAAAATACATCATGGCTTCTCCGACAGCCCAATACTAGCTTTTCCCAAACCAGCCAAGCAAAGCTCTAATTGGGAGAAATGGGCAATGGAAGTCAGGGTTCTCACTCCCTCCACTAACCACACACAGGTTGTGGTTGAGGTCTATCCCAAATCCAAGGTCATTCCCTCTCTCAACCTGGCATCATTGACGGAAGAATCAGACAACGGGCCAAGGCCCCGGTGACTCTAGGGAAAGGCAAATGGCCACCACCCATGAGTAAGAACTTGAACTTGAACCCATGCTCTGTGGGTTGAACTGTCTGTCTCCTATAAATCTATGTTCCAAACTGTCTGGGCCAGCATGAGACAAGCAGGAAAGATAAACAAGTGGGGGTGAGAATAAAGAGATTGTATTTTTCATTCCACAGATGCCATGGTGGGAAGAAGCTTTTCTTTCAAAAGCCCCTAGACTTGACACATCTCACTTCCAGCTGAGTTCTTTTTCCTGTCTCCTGGCTCTTTCTCACCCTTCTCTTATATCCGCCTCAGCTTCTGGATCTTCTCAAAGCTTCCCCAGAAAACCACGGGCTAATTTATTCCCCTTGAGCAACTGTCATGTTTGAAAAGCTGCCCATGGTCTTCACCGTGATTTTCAGAGACTCACAACTGGACTTGCTTTCAGTGACAGCAAGGAGGTAGGAGGAGAGGAGAAGATAGGAGCTTCCAATCGTGGGACACGCACACACGTCTGAAAAATGCTGGATCTATAATTGCTGGACAATATAACCATCCTGATACCCGAGGAAGACGTCAAGAAAGAAAAGCAGAGAGTAGAAAACCCATATTTGTGTTGTAGCTACTGGAGTTTCTACACAAGGGAGGCATGACCTGATATGACCTTCACTGTCAAGGATCCAGAAGAACCAACCAAAGATATGTGGGGCAAAAGGCCAGGCCAGGCTGACCGGTTTTGACATGTCAAAAGATGCATGTTGTCTGGCCTGGGCAGCTTGTGGGCAGGGAAGAAACATGAAACGCAGTCTCTAAGTTGCAAGGATAGCAATAACATCAACAGTGAGTTACCTGTGCTCCAGGTAAGCCTTGCCTCCCATCATTACTTTGAAAGAAAGAGGCTTCCTCTGGCTTATTGGTTTCTGGTCTGAAACAGTGAAGACTGCATTTCCTGTGCTTTCTCCTCTTCACTATTCAAGACAGGTGCCAAATATGTCATTGTGCCTGACGGAGCCTGGCGTTGGCTCACTCCCTGTGATCATGGCCGACCACCTGACAGAAACACTTTCCCTGATTACATTTTTAACCTGGTCTGTGCCACACTTAGTTACATTTTGAGGGGGAACGCTGAGGAAGGGAGGGAAGAACAGCGGGGTGAGGAGGTTTGCAGAAAGCGTGAGTGTCGGCATGGGGCTAGAACATCCTGCACATGACACGTTTTTTGCATTTCAACTTCACTAAATATTGACATCCAGTTAACAAATATTGATTGAGAAGCTGAACCATTCAAAACAGTGTTTAAGCTCCATGTTCCACAGTGTGAAATCAAAAAAGAATGTCACGGGGAAAACAGATGGGCCATTACCTATCTCCTATTGATAATGAGCCCATGTTATAGAAAGATGATTTCCGGCTTCATACCATTACTGATTAGTGTAATAGTAAAAATAAATCACTCACTCAGACTAATGGTCTCTTCTGGGCAAGTGGTGAATAATGCTGACATGGCTTCTTTTATTACCTGCACCTCTCCTGGTCTGGCAGATGGTTTGCTGATACGATGGTTTTGGGTAGCAGTTAATGCTAGGCAATTGTTGGCATGGTAGCATCCACATATGTCTATAAATCTCTGGTTTTTAAGTGTTGGCTGGGCTGCAGCTACAAATGAGGGTTTATCTGTGTGACAGATAGCTATTTGCAAGGCTGTTCACCATTTCTTCCTTTGCTGTCCGTTCTAATTGTTTGTCTGAGAGCTGGAACCTTCCCTGGCCCTGCACGTGGCAGCAGGCATGTGGCTTCAGCAGTGCTTCCACATGTCCTCCTATTCGTCAGGGCACTCTCTCCCCTAAGGTAATGAGCAACTCTCTCTCACAATAGAGCTCTGAGCATGACTCAGATTCTCACTGGTTAATGAGGCTTCCATGTTCCATTTGTAACCCTGAGGTATGTAATGATGCATATGTTTACTAATATTGCACTGACGTTTGCAATACAGTTTGGGTGCAGGTAGGGTGTTCTCAGCCTCTGAAGTCCAGTTTCAACTAGGCCCCGCTGCAGCTGACCATCTTGCTACGGCCCACAAATCTCACTTGCAATCTCATGTAGTAGAAGGACGTGATGACTAAATATCACAACTGTCATATTCAACTAACCACATAAAACTGCTCAGTTCCCTCTGAATACAGCAAGGTCACCAGGCCCCATTGATCTGCTGTTAAATGACCAAGAACATTTCTGGTCAGTAAATGTGTCTTAGTGACACATAGTGGTGTAGAAACCGACCTCAACATCGATTGTAGCACAGATTGGTGAGAAAGATTTTTGCTTTTCTGCTCAAATATTCCCCTGGAACTTCCTTCAGAACCAAAGTGTCATAGGGAAGTTTAAGGTCACAGCAACATGATTCAGTGAATACTCATCTACGTTTACAAAAGCAAGTAACGTTGCCCACAGCCCCTCATTCTTAAATCTGCAGGTAATTTTCTAAGGGCAAAATTTCTTAAGTTAATTGATCCAGACTCCCGTTGCTATCGATGCAATAAAGGTAATACTGAAAATGACAGCGTTTGAGAAGCAACCACAAACTGCCTTTTTATGGCATACAATTAGCGAAGGAATTGAGAACCATTTTTTTTTCTAATGTAAAATCATCAGCCCTAAAGTGGCAACTGAAATTCACCACAGTGATCCCATAACTCTCAGCCTCTCTTTTCACTTTCTGAAGCTTACCCCCACCCGCTCCTGCACCCACGGCCTGTCTCAGCACTCCAGAATAATGAGCAAACAGTTAAGGCCAGCACCGCGTTTCTACAGAGATGTATCGGTCTCCTCATCCTCTGGAGGGACCATAAAACCACCCGATGACATCTCATTTTGAAGCCTCTTGTATTAAGAAAACTGAACTCTGGATGTGAGGGATATTTGGACAAATGTGTACTTCAAGACAGAGTCCTAACTCATATGACAGCTTTCTGCCATTAGCTGGGGATCTCAGCATTGATGACTCCATCTTCTTCAACAGCCCCCCACCCCGTCCCCGCCCCCCTTTTACAAAAATATCCTCCTTATTTTTATCCTAAATATGTTTGACATCCCCCCCATCCCCACCCCGTACACTTTGCTTTGGGTTTAAAAAACTCTCAGGTAGACTTTTATCTCCTCTATGAAAGCATAAAGCGGCAGGTCTAAGGCAACCCATGACCAGGATAGTAAAACTGCCTTCAGGTTATAAACACGCACCTGAGAGGGACAAGCCACGTTTTAATTAAAACAGAGCCATGACTTATCCGGGAGCTGACTGTTTACTTTCTGCCCCAGCTGACCTCTCCTGATGTTTGGGCAGATGAGTAAGGAGAGGGAAAAGAGCTGGATTTTCAGGGAGACGCCTTGCTTCCTGGAAGGCTCTCAGATCTGCCCAACGAGCAGAGGTTAAGCGCTGAATTCGAACCAGGTTTGCAAGTGCTCTGTTTGGAAGCCCGATTCTGGAAAACCGAAGTCCAGCAGCGACTTTCCACATCAGGGCAAAGGAGAAAGAGGGCGGAAACGGTCCAGGGGAGAGGAGTCTGGCTAAGGAGTGATCTAGTCAAGAGAGTAAGGCTGGGAGCATTTCTTGCCTGTGCTGCTGAATAGGAGAAACTTTTTTTTTTGCACTGAGATCTACTCGGGGCTGAACTCTGAGGTCCGCAACAGCCGGCGGGGCCTTGGTGGGGGGACACGCCCGGACCTCAGGGCCAGGGCTTGAGCGCTTGGGCTCCGCCGCAGCAGGCCAGGGCCGGGGGAGGGGTGGTGGCGGCCGGGCAGCGGGAAGCCGGGGCCGGCGCGCGCGCTCTCCCGCCGGACCCGCGGGGTCCTCACCTGTTCCAGCGGGCCACCTTCCTCCGGTAATACCGCAGCGCCTCCTGGCTGGCCAGCAGCGAGTCTTCCGGCCCGAGGAGAGGCGGCTCCTCCGGGACGTTGTACAGCGGGTGGGCGAAGAGGGCCTGCAGCTTGGAGCCAGGGCCACCGCGGCCGCTAAGGTCCCGCTCGGCTCCCGGCCGGGCTCGGGAAAAGTTGTGCGCGGCCGCGTGGGGGTCCGAGGCGGCTGCGGCGGGGGCCGGGGCCGGGGAGGAGGCGCGGCGGGCGCACGGGCAGCCCGGCGGGCGCTCCCGGGACCGCAGCTGGCGCTGCACCTGGGGCCAAAGGTGGAAGTAGAGGTCGGCGGAGAGCAGCGCGCCCAGGAGCAGCAGGGTCAGCAGGCGGTCCCGGCGCAGCCCGGGCATGGCCCCGCCGCGCGCGCGGGAGGACGCTAGGCGCAGAGGGCCGCCTGCGGGCCGGCGGGCCGGCTGGGGCCGGAGTCCTCACCGCGCCGGATAGCTCCGCTTTGGAAGGGGTGTCGCCCTTGAACTTGGGGACCGGGTACAGGGAGCGCAGGGGCTCGCAGTGTTGGCGGACGTTCCTTCTCCGCGCGGAGTGGAGACCAGGGAATGGTGTCTCCCGGGCACGCTGGTTCTCGCTCGTTTTCTCCCCGCGCGCGCCCGCCCGCCCGGGAGACCGTGGCAGGTGAAGGGCCGGGGGGCTCGGGTGTAGCTGTCCCCGCGGGCGGACGGGCGGTGGGGCGCTGGACGACGCCGGGCAGGAGCGCAGGGCGCGGGCGGCGGAGCTCGCCTCTGGGAGGAGCAAGGCGGCCGCGGAGCCCGGGGCGTCTCTCCAGAGGATGCTGTCGCTGGGCCGCTGCTGCGACTGTTCACTCGGTTCCTTCGGCGGGCGGCGGGGACGCCCGTGCCCCCGGCTCCTCCCGGCGAGCTGGACTGCGCGCCTGACTCCAAGAGGCAGAGGTAGCGCCGGCCTCCTCCGCCTGGCCGGGCGCCCGCGCCTCCGCCCACTCGCAGCTGGCACCTGCCTCTGGCGCAGCTCGCCAGCCAACTCCGAGCCCTCTGCGGGCTCTGCCCTTCCACCTTGTCACCCAACCGCTTCGCGCGCCCATCCCCCCTCGCCCCAGGCCTCCCACTTCCCCTGCTCAGAGTTCAGTCCAGACTTTTAGGGGGAAACGAGCGGTGTGTGTGTGTGTGTGTGTGTATGAGAAACCTTTTATTTTCATTTCTGCTTTTCAGAAAAAAAGCTCCCTGAAAGCCCTTCCCCTGTAGATCGTCCAGATGTGTGTGTGCGTGCGTGTGTGTGTGTGTGTGTGTGTGTTTTGTCATTTTTCTCTTCTTTTCTTCCCACGAAGCACATACCAGACCCATAACAATGATGTGTCATGTGCCTGGCACGTAATAGGGGCTCAGGAAACACTTAGTGAATGAAAAAGCTTGACCTTTAAAAATAAGGCACCAGTTTTACCTAGAATCTTGGTGATTTCCTGTTTGGATGGAGTTTGATTCCAACTGGGCCTGTGCTTTACAAAAAGGAAATTTTTCTTGCACCCGAGGTTGGAGGGGCCCCCTGATGACCCCACTCTGAACTTTTGCATTTAGCTTGGCGTGAAAGTAGTCCACCCAAATGAGTCACGGGCCTACCGCAGGTTAGGCTTTCTCCTGATAATCCCGTGAGGTCATTATACTCCCCACCCCATTTTCCTTTTGAAGAAGAGGGAGGGGGAGGTGTGACCCCAGCCTTGAACTCCTGGCTCCTCTATTTAATGACCTGGTAGCAGAGTGAAGGTCAAATCCGACTGGGGAGGCACCCTGCGCTCCTGAATGTTCTGGAAAATGCAGTTTTGCCTGAGCTGCCTGCCCAGGCAGCAAACCTTCCCATGTATGTTAAACCTATTCTTTAACCACCTTCTTGATTGGTGGGTTCAGACCAGAGTTCTTCCCACCTGTGGTTCAGTGGGAGATTCTCCTGACCTTTGCCAGCCCCTCAGCTGTAAAGGAAGATAACAACAGAACTTACTCCATACGGTTATTGCGTGGCTTACATGAGTTAAAGTATATAACTTGCTTAGAACAGCTCCCAGCACTGTCTGAAATACGTATTTGCTAGAAATAGGATCACTTCTTGGTTCCTGTAGTATACTAGGGAAGGTTAGAGGCTGTTAATGAGTGGGACCAAGATAGAAAAGCATGAAAAAGGAAGATATCAGAAAGGGACCCTTTTTAGGAGCACATGGTGGTCTGCACTCACATCCAAGTGTAAGCCCAAGATGCTACTATTCCCAGCTGCTTCACTCAGCTGCTTTTGGTGTTGGGCATTTTTAAGGTTTCTTGAACCACCTCCTTTTTTTTTTTTTACCGGGAATTAAAGTTTAATTGGTCTCCAGTTTCTGAGAAATTTTTCAGCTTCTGACATGTCATGGCTAGTGGGTGAAGAAGTCAGGCATTGAACGGTGCTTCTCTGCAATAAATACGGGGCAAACTGGTTTGTGTTTTTCTGGGCTGGCGAAGGACATGGACATGAAGCCATCACAGGTCTTGTAGCTTTAATTCTCCCCCAGCCCTGGGGTCATGCTCCCTGAGCGGACTCTTTTGTCTGGCCTTAATTCAGGGAACAAGATTCCTAACTTCGCCTGGAGATTATCTAAACACATTTCCCTGCCCTGGAAAGGTCAAGGGCAAAACTGTATGTGGAAGTCAAATATTAAGTGTGAATGAGACTGGGGTGGGAGAGTGGCAATCCTAGAGGCAGAATTGGCAGTCAGATGCCACTCTCCTTAAAGTCTGTCTAAAACTCTCCTGTTCCTTCCCAGAAACGAGCCTTTCCTTTCTGCTCCTGCACTTGACCCCTGGCTTTCCCGCCAGTCTCATATATGTCCCCTCCACTCACGCCCAAGTTATCCCCGACTGCTGTGTACTAGGACCCATCGTTCTGTTTCAAGCCTCTCATTGCAAATCCATATCCCCTTTCCTTTTCTCCTGCTCTTGAATGGACCCAGGGCCTCATCATTTCTTTCTCAGACTCTTACAAACAGGCTGCTATCTGGACTCTCTGCTTCCAGCCTGGCCCCATTTCAGCGCCCACCTTGTGTTTCGATCTAATCAAAACTCTCGCCGGAGTTCGCTTGGTAGCATGCGGATGCAACCATGATGTTCTCATGGTTGAAAAGCCTCCAGAACATCTCATTGCCTCTGCATTAGGTAACCTGTGATGTGACTCTTCATGGTTTGGCTTCTGTCTCCTTTTCCAGCCTCGTCTCCTGCCTCTTCTTGATATGACCCCAGTTTTCACCCCTTAACACTTTATGTAGCTCCCTAGGTGTTTCATGTGCTCACCAACATGCCTTTAGTCAAAAGCTCTGTCCTGTTTCCCCACCTGGGGAATATCCATGGTGTACCCAAGCTTTGGCCACTTGTCCCATTTTCTCTGATGTTTGCCTTCATGCCCGTTAATCTCAGTGCTGTGTGCTCTCACGTATTCTCACGGCTGTTTGCATGTACTCTTATTAGAGCATTGGCTGTGTTGTGTATATTGGTTTGTGTGCATTATGGATTGATTTATGTCCCCCCATAATTTATTTATATGTTGAAGGCCTACCCCTCAGTACCTCAGAATGTGACCTTATTTGGAAATAGGGCCGTTGCAGATGTAATTAGTTAAGATGAGGTCATCCTGGAATAGAGTGGGCCCTCGATCAAATGTGACTGGTGTCCTTATAAAAAGGGAAAATTTGGACACCGACAAATGCACGCAGGAGGAACACCATGTGAGCATGAAGGCAGAAACCAGGGTGATGCTTCTACAAGCCAAGGAACGCGAAAGATTGCCAGCAAACCGCCAGAAGCTAGGTAAGAGGCACGCAACAGATTGTCCCACAGAGCCCTCAGAAGAGACCACCTTGCCGGCATCTTGATCTTAGACTTCCGGCCTTGAGAACTGTGAGACAGTACGTTTCTGTTGTTTAAGCCACCCAGTTTATGGTAGGTACTTTGTTACAGCAGCCCTTGTAATCGAATACAGTACACATGTGTGTCTTCCTCACTGGAGCATGACCTCTTAAGCATGGAGGGAAAGTGTTACTTATCTATGGACATGGAGCTCTGAGAGCAGAGGCAATCAAGAAATTTTAGCTGTGTAGGGGCTGGCCGAGTGGCTCAGTTGGTTAAGAGCTCGCTCAAGAGTTTGAGCTCTGAGCAACAGCGGTTCGAGTCCAGCCCAAGCTGAGCAGCCACTGAGCTGCCAACAGGTAGCAGGATGGCTCAGCTAAAAAAAAAAAAAAAAAGAAATTTTAGCTGCGTAAATGAAGAGAAACCATTGAGGGCAGGGGTCTAAGGCATCTCGGCAACCATAGCGTCTTACATAGGACTTTGTACACAGTAGTGGCTTAATTATTGGTTACAATCAAATTACATAGTTTGGGACCCTATAGGAGACACAGAAGCGATATAAAACATGGCTCCTGCCTTCCGGCATCTTTTATGATTATTAGAGAAACGAAGCCTGTCTATAAGACAATTCAGAAAAAGTACCAGGCAGCACACTGAGCGGATTAGGGAATTTGTGCCACTGCAGGCTTTCAGAGGAGAAATGCAAAGGCCGCTGTGTTTCCTTTCAGCCCAACTAAATATCAAGCTCTCTACTTCCAGGAATTAAATCATGAAAACAGCAGAATCAACATTTAAACCCAACAGTTCCTCAATCTGTGAAGGTTGTACTCTATTTTTATCTTGCATATGTTCACATGTTGTTTAAAACACGACTAGTTTCTCGTTTGTGGGGTTGGTTTTCTACACTGGACTGTACGTAACTCCATGTGTACAAGGCCACCATGCGTTTCCCTTCCTTTTCCGGCTTTCCTAGGACATTGTACATAGCAAGGCATAAGGTACACCTGAGAACAACAAAGTCCTGTAGGATAAAGGGTGTTTGTATATGTGGGTCTATGTGTACTCATGTGTGGGGGTGGGGGTGGGGGTGGTTTTAAAAGAGTATTTAAAATAAAAATCACACCCCAGATAAATGTTAACTATTATATTTCGTTAGATTACCTAAACCTTAGGAATCTTAATAGACCTGTGGAAAGAGCGGTAGGTAAAAGAGCTGTGCTAACTGCAGACATCCATGTCCCTCAGGGCTTTTGTCACTGTATGGATGTGTGTGAGGGCAGTGTTACCTTTACCTGCTGGTTTCCTCAGCAATCAGTGAGGAGGGGGGCAATTAGATGGCAGATCCAGATCAGAGTGAGGTTAAGAAACCTGATACGGATTTGGTGTTGTACCCAACCTCTTCTCTTATTCTGAGCTAGAAAGTCCAGAATTTTCTATTCATGACCAAAACATAATGCCTCAACATGGCCAGAGGTTTCTCAAAGTGTCTCCGGTGGATCTGAATTACTGGGGATGTTCATAAAAATGCAAATTCCAG